GCGCCACACTGATTTCGGACCCATATTCTAGTTTTAAGTGGTAAATAGGTGAATTAAGTTGTATTATTCAACGAAAAGGTTCAACGCATTTGTGTAACAGAATAAATACAATAGTTATCAAAGGTACCAGGCTTATAATTTGATACGCCAGACGCGCGTTTCGTCTACATAAGACTCATCAGTGACGCTCAGATCAAAATAGTTAGAAAGCCAAACAAGTATAAAGTTGGAAGAGCATTGAGGACCCAAAATTCCAAAAAGTTGTGCCAAATACAGCTAAGGTAATCTATTCCTGGGATAAGAAAATCCTTAATATTTCGAATAATTTATACTTTTGAAAACAGTTACAACCTTTATCAAGAATTATATGACCCTTACAAGATTATGAAAGATTTTTTATTTTATAAGCTTTACAGTAAAATTTGGTGTAAATCACTTCTATGTGAACGCTATCCCTGCAATTTGAACCACACTTGAAGTGTTCATACATCTATAGCTTTCCAGTTTTTGGTTTTGTGCCTTTCTGATGGGTATTAATCCAGAAAAAACACTTCCGTCGCACCAAATTTATAAAGTGTTTTTCCATTCGATTTTCTAGCACTGAATCGATACAGGACTGGTCGGCTGTTTGTCCCCGAGAGTATCATCATTTCAATAGTCAGTGCGTCCGTACTGACATGATTTTAAACATACATTATATAAATTTTCCGTTGATAATTTATAAATTTATAAAACACCAACTATCTCAGGCAAAATCGACTTTTGGTGGATTTTGCTTTTTTAATGTCCCTTTGGTCGTAAAGCTCCTTAGGTGTTGGAGTATAAATATATCCCTGGCTTTCAAAGTTTTGGGTTTGACCTTTCCTGATGAAGGTAAATCCAGAAAAGCGCTTCACACGCTCCAACTTCATAAAGTGTTATTTCACATACTCTCAACATTTGGATTATAATAAATTAGAAGTTTTGACCAGTTCATGTCTTTGAACTTCAATACATTAATTGATCAAAACTTTATAGATCTGAACATGTTGTGATTATTGAAATATATCATCAATTATATAGCAATAAACTGGTAAATGTACACTGTATATAAAAGAGCCATTAGAAATTGATAGTCATGGAAAGTAAGTTAGCAAAATGAAAAAGACATTCCATTTTTCGTAAAGAGGTAGGGCCATTTTCCCGTGAGTTTTAATCATTTGATTAGCTAGGTAAATCATGTTTTTAAATAGCCCCATAGATACTAATTATAGTATATGAAAACACGTCACATCATCTATTTTCATACCTTGAACAGGTATTCCTACAATAATCAAGGCCAAGACTATTGATTTTTTTTGTGTATCAAAACCAATATTGTAAATGCCCGTGAGGAGCATTAAAATATGAATTGTCAACTAAAAGATATTCAAAATTAGTTTTGTATTAAAAAAACATGGTGCTTCAGTTAGCGTGTTAATGTTGGTAGGTGATTTGTAGCGTACACGTATTTCACAGCTTTGTTTAACTTAAAACTAACAAAATATTAAACAAGAATGTGTCCATAGTACACGGATGCCCCACTCGTACTATCATTTTCTATGTTCAGTGAACTATAAAATTGGGATAAAAACTGTAATTTAGCATTAAAACGAGAAAGATAATAGTATCATAGGGATCATGTGTACTAAGTTTCAAGTTGGTTAGACTTCCACTTCATCAAAAACTACCTTGACCAAAAACTTTAACCTGAAACGGGACAGACGGACGAACGAACAGACGAACGAACGAAGGGACGGACGGACAAACGAACGAACGGACGCACAGACCGAAAAACTGAATGCCTCTAAGTGGCGCCTAAATAAGGGGGTTAAATATAAATACAAGAAACATTTAATAATCTAATAATCTGATATAAATCAGCTAATCTAATTCAAGATCGGTCTCTGTTTTAATGCCAAGAAGCAAAAAAATATCGGACGCATTTAACTGGGATGTTGTTTTCCTCAATCTAGATGTATCTATATCTATACACTGTTACAGCTTTTAAGGTTTACCGTCTATATGAACCGGACAACAGCTTACACCAGTTGGTACTAGAACGGCTTGTGTAACAAACACATGTAATCTGGTCTTTTCTGCATGGCATTGTACCAAATGGATCGACCCTATGTTGTGATACAGATTCAACACTTTCTTGATGTTTTACCTACAGTCACGATTGGTAGTGTAATTGATTTTTTCTGTGGTGTTGTTTCATTTTCTGATGACCTAGGTTCCGGTGTAGGGATTGTGGTACAATGTAACAATGCCAGTACTAGTATCTACACAGTTGGTGGATTGGCGATAAAATTACTATTTGCATTTGTTACATATCGTACCATTTTCTAAAACGTTCTTGTTCAAGATTTAGAAAAAATATTTTTGTTGTTTTGAAATTTTTCTGCTATGGCCTTTTTTCGTTATGTGTATAACACACACAACATTTGGGCTTCATTGCTATATAATCAATTCTCGTGTTATTGGTTATGTACTAGCACCTCCTTTAGTGTGACTCTTTGAATTAAACAAACATTCGGAAAAATGTGATAGAAACATAACATTTTAATATTTCAACATAAAAAATGAGAAAAATTAGCGTGAGATTTGAACCCCATCTTAAAAACAATCCATTATTTACAGTTTTAAGCGCTACGGATGGAGCAACAGCGACTCTTGAAAACAAAGTCGATATTAAGCTACTATATAGGTAAAATTTAGTGATGTTCCACTTTTTAGTAAAAAAGTTGTTTTTTAGGGATTAAAGGCACACTAAACCAATTTCATTTTTGAGGGGAAAAGTTGTATAAATTACAACAACAACAAAAAACATAACTTTGTTTTGGTTTGAAGTGTCCTTCTAGGGGGATTCGCTGTTTTTCCAACCTAAAAACACGGTAAATTCCGCATATTTGACTTTCATCCTTTTTTGGAGGTTAAATTAACTATTTTCCAGACATAACATAATACATAAAAATCGAGATATTGACCAAAAAACATTTTTTTTTCATGTTTTTATCGTAAATTTTATTCTTTCAGCACTTTTTGAAATTGGCCCTTCTGTGAAAAAATTTCAGAGGAAATTGGCCCTACCTCTTTGTTTTGCTCACACATTGTGGTCAATATAATGGAATTCTTTGCGACTGTCATACAAGTGAGAGGTTTAGCTAGCTATAAAACCAGGTTTAATCAAACATTTTCTACATAAGGAAATGCATGTACCAAGTCAGGAATATGACAGTTGTTTTCCATTCGTTTGATGTGTTTGAACTTTTGATTTTGCCATTTGATAAGGTTTTTTCCGTTTTGAATTTTCCTTGGAGTTCGTTTTTTTTTTTGTTATTTTACTTTTTATGTATGAAAATTACAGTGAAAAATATGATATAAACATTTTGAAAATTCGCCAATCAGCATTTCATATATGCATTTGTTTTCACACTTGGTCCAATGAAAAAACATTTCTATGTCTTTTGTATACAGTAAACACATGCATCATATGTAAGTTTTGCATAATGGACAATAGTAGAAATGCATTTTAAAATTTAAAAAGTAAAACCTTTTATATCATCAGTTAAAACGGTTATAAAACTATATTTTTTCGGTAAAAATACAAACACGTTGACCCCATTATACATTACTTTGTAGATCATTAACAATTCCGTTCTGACAGATGACAGAATATTTCTAAGCAACAATCTTAATGTACTATGACAATGTAACTTCTATTCTATCGGATCCTCCTCATGAACAAATTCCATCCTTTTATAAAAAAAAACTTTTGTCCGGATTTGGCTATACTTTAGGTCCTTTTTGGTCGTTTGAAATAAGTTTTGAATCTTCAAATATTTTGGCCTCGGGCATCTCTGAAGTGACATTAATTGACGATATGCGCTGCTGGTGCAATATAATTGGTACCGTTAAATTTTTTCAAAGTAAAGTAATAGTAAGTTTTTAAAAAAAATAATATGTTGTGTAATTATATTTAGGTTTTGTTAAAATATATCAGTTGTATTTTGAAGGTTTTTTTATGGAGATCCTTCATGTTCTGCAATTGTCCTTTAGACATTATTGCCGGCTTTGTCATGTTCTTGATATTGACGCTTGCTGAATGATACTTTAGAATCGAAGGATAGGTGATACGTGAAAAGCTGGAGATGCTTACAACGTCAACACAATTTTACTCACTGCGCGTGGAGTTCATTTCAGTTGAATTATTAATACTACGGTGTTTGATAGTATGTATCTGGGCTTATGATGTATCAACTGAAATCAATATATTACCTTCTCATTTGTATAGATTATAGGTACTGACGTTGTTTGTCATCCTAATTATGTGTTATAGTGTTCTTTTTATTTATCTTTGTATATTTTAACCCTTAACTGTTTAGTCCATTTTTGGTTATATTCTTTTGGCGTGGATCGGTATTTATACATCCACCATTGTGTTATTGTGATATATTCTCTTTCTTGTCCTTTATGTTTGCTTATGTGTTTTGTCAACAGAGTGTCTATATGCATTTTTGTTTTTCTTTGTTGACAAAGTTGTTTGTTTTTATAGTGATTACGATTATAACACAATGTTGACTGCTGTACCCCAATTTTCAAACATTTCTAACTATTATGTCTGTTTGTTTTTCTCACATAATGTGGTCAGTATAAAGGAATTCTATGCGAATGTCATACAAGTGACATGTTTAGCTAGCTATAAAACCAGGTTTAATCCACCATTTTATACATAAGGAAATGCCGGTACCAAGTCAGTAATATGACAGTTGTTTTTCATTCGTTTGATGTGCTTGAGCTTTTGATTTCGCCATTTGATCAGGGACTTTCCGTTTTGAATTTTCCTTGGAATTCGGTATTTTTTCAATTTTACTTTTGACCACAGTTCTCCGTACCAATCACTTGTTTGAAAGCAAACATAAATATAACCAATATCATCACTTTGATAAGTCCACAACACAACAAATAAAAATATAAAATAAATTATATGATTTTATTAAATTGAGCAAATTTACATTTTAAAAAATTCAATGAAAGGAAGCCTGTCACGAACAGGCCTCACAAGACACGTGCAAACAAACAATAATAAAACAGAGCATGCACTATTTGATGCAAGATCTATTCTTATAAGTTTCATAATTCATGAGGCTTATCGTCAACACAGTTCTAAATCAAACTTAACAGAAAATTGTTTCTCGTTGTCATGTCTTTCTTTTATAAATGAAAACACCAAATGCAGAACTTTTCAATTGCCATGTTAGTAAAGTTATTGACTATCGAAATTTTTAAAACGAAAACAGAAACAATTTCATGAAAGTTTGCTTAGTGACATAAAATCTATTTTCAATTAAATTGTTGATATAAATAAAAACATATACATATATTTTTCTTGATGATCTTGACAAAGTTTGCCTAGCATGCAAAAAAAAAACAGATCTATGCCAGATATGTCTATGGATTGTTTGGTGGCTTGACGATAAGCACGGAGATAGAAATTGTTAGCAAAGCTACAGTGTAATAAAAATAAAGGTAAAAGCTCATCAAAGCATGAAGTACTCAGTTTTATTATAGCTTCGATGTTTGTTATTTAATCGCAACTGAATGAAAATCTTAACAAATGATCTGCTGGTCACCATCTCATTCGTAAAGTTTCAAATCATTAGCTTATTTGATCCCAGAAAATAATTCATTAAACAAATCCCCAACTATAATCTCCTGTTCTTGAGGTTTCATGCGATCAACCAAACAGACGAAAATATGGAATATCATTGAAAGATGATTTGTCTTGTAGGCATGCAAAACTTTGTTTTGATTTTTTACAAACATCGTTCTCTATATTATGGAAACGGGTAAAACCGTTCTACTGAAGATTTTCTATCTAACAAAGGGCACTTAGGGATGATGACAAGGATGACCCTAAATAAGAGGCACAGGTTTCAAAAATATGAATAAAAGTAATGATTGACAGGTTAAGCAACAACACAAAATATCCCCAAAAGAAAACAAATGATTTAATCTAATTGTACATTACCATCAGCGTTGTGGATACTATATGAGGATGTTTAAAATATATTTCTTTTCATTTATTTCTGTTAATCGCAACCAACAAGCACGCGATGAAGAAACCTGTTTTTACAAACATAAAATACAATCGATTAACGAAATTTTTGTACCGCCCTCGTGTGTACAAAAAGTTTATACATTTTATTCAAACATCTTTCAGATCGTTTGTTATTAAAAAAAATCTAAAAAGTGACATTTACAATTCAGCTGCCAGATTAAAGGAATAAATATGATTCCCATTAAAGAGGTTCTCATTTTATGGATCCGTACCATAGTAAACCACGTGATGGCTTAAAAACCCAGAATGTTAGTATTGGTGCCACACCATCAATTAAAAATCCTATATATTCAACCAATTTTTTTTCCAATTTTCACAGCTTTTTAAATATTTTACTTTAAGTTTAAATCCATGAAAACAATGTATATCCTGAATAATACATGTATCAACTTTCTACATGCCAATGTTCAACCCATGTTTGAAGTCTTTTAGTGAAACCTTACATTCCCGAACTCACCAACTGCTAAAAATAGCACACTGTTTTTTTTAATTTGAATCAGCATTCTAATTTGCACATCTACCCTAAAATTTTAATCCAGGTAAATGCATAAGTAAATTTGGACTCAAAATGATCAAAATATATTTTTCATTCAGAAAAGTTTCATTCGTGAAAATTGATTGGCCAGTTAAAGAGAAAAAAAACATTAAAAGGCACTGTATGTTTTGTTAGAGTTGGGCTACTTTTACATATGTTCTAAATGCGATGAAGTGAATTGGTTGTGTGACCCCTATTAAAAAAACTGTACGCGGAAACCTTAAGCATAATTCTTCTTCTTCATTCTTCTACAAAAACAATGAAATCTGAGAAAAACTAATAAAAACAATGCGGTATGCATATAAAGACGTTAATATTTTTAACATAGATATTTACCTTATTTTTAGATAGAAAAATTGTATCAGATTTTTAATCGTTATAATTGAATACTTTAAAATAAAAATTAATTGCCTAGTGATTCCATATTTAAAAAAAAAAAAATTAGAAAGATGACACAATCCTAATTGAGAGGGATTGGGGATGGTAAAGTTTTAAATTCTATTTATTGTCATTCATTTCTTAATAAATTTTGAATTGAAGATACCGATCATAAACCCTAAACGTTACGTTTCCTTGTATGAGTCCCCCTCCCCAAAAGCATCACACTTTATATAGAAAATGTTTAAGAAATCTTATTGTCTTAACTGTTGAAAGTACATTTTATTACTTTTTTTGTTATGAAAATAGTAACAAGGATTACAAGACTAAAATATTTAGAAAAGGATATATATGAAATAATTCAGAATTGGAAAATGATAATAACGGTGTTCATTTACATGCAATAAACACGATGTTAAGTTCTATACTAACAAATAGAAACTTTTTTGGCAGAAAAAGGATAAACCGTTGACCAAAGATGGAATAATGTAACATGGAAGTAAATGACAAATGGATAAAAATCTAAAAAAGGAAACAAACTATGAAGTTAGAAAAGAAACTATGAAATAACAAACAACAATGACTTTTAAAGATGAAGACAGAAAATGTAAGTTTAAATAAATATTACCAAAGTATATCACAGTCGTATCATTTGTATTAACACATACATTTTGTTCACACGTATAATAACAACTTTAAATAAATAAATAATAAATAATATTTGCATGTAATGCACCAAATAAATACAGCTTAAAAGCAATGTAAACACAAATCCCATGCTTAAAAAACTTCGTATTCTCATCTTTTCTGAATCTTGTTGATTCTTAATCACATTCTAGCGCATGGATTTCAGTTCAAAAGCACACACAGTACGTGTGTAAAATACACAATCACAAAACAACCTAAAACAAACGATCTAAACAAGTTTAAAACCAAAACTAAACTCACACAGCGTGATTGTCGAATGCAAATGTAAAATCAACGAAAAAAACATAGACGATTTTACAAGCCAACAGAAACACACTTTCAACACTGGAAATCTGTCATGACCAATCTTTGGAATAGCTCGGTCTACAGCCAACAACAACAAAGAAGGAAAGCTGAAGGCAGGAAAAGCTAAGATGCCGATCATAAAATGGTTCCATGTCAACAGTTTCTGAGAACAATTCATTGCCAACAAAAGGAAGGCAATACGTCACGTGGTTGCTGACGTTCATATGTATTCAAAAACTTTGTGAATTTTCATTGCTCTTAGAAGTTCTGAAATGAAAAGAATATATAAATTAAATAATAAGTCAAAAACATTATCTGTCGACATGTGTAGCAATTTTTTTTTTTGCAGGACTTACAGAAGCTGACGTAATCCTCGTGGCATGTTCCTACCTTCACGTCTGATGTAAATAGTTTAAAATTACAGTATGCATATACATATTCTACTACAATACCAACATTTATTATTATATCGATGATGGATAAATATCATAATTGATGAGCTAATGAGTTTCTATTTCTTGGAAATTAGAAACTTTTTGATTGGTAAAAAGACGGAAAAGATACCAATTGGCAATTAAAACAAAAGCTCTAATAAACAAGAGGCTCTTAAGAGCCTGTGTCGCTCACATGCATCTGCAATAATGGCCACTCTTAGAAAAAAAATCAACATTAAAGGGGAATAACTCTATTAAGAGTTAACTGACAATTTCAGTCATGTTGACATATTTGTAGATCTTATTCTGCTGATAATTTTTCCTTTTTAAAGTTTCTGTGTATCTATTATAGGTTTCAAGACAATAGGCAAAAAATGTTAAAAATTAGCATTAAAGGGCAATAACTTAAATAACGAGTCGACTGAAGATTTTGGCCATTATGGCTTATATGTGGATCTTGTCTTTCTGATCATATGTGCTATTTAAAGTTTCCCTCTGTCTATTACAGTTTTCAAGATAATAGGCAAAAATGGGAAAAATCGTCATTAAAGGGCAATAACTTCAATAAAGAGTCGACTAGTCAACTAAACTGTTGATTTATTTGTAGATCTTGTCATGCTGATCATTTTTGCTATTTAAAGTTTCTATTTATCTAATAGTTTTTAAGATAATAGGCAACAACGCAAAAAAATGGTAAAAATTGTCATTATAGGGCAATAACTGTAATAAGGAGTTGACTGAAGATTTTGGTTATGTTTGACTTATTTATAGAATTCGTCTTGCTGATCGTTTTTGCTATATAAAGTTTCTGTCTATGTATTATAATTTTCAAGGTAATAGGCAAAAATTTTTAAGAAATGGTAAAATTCATCATTTAAGAGCAATAACTCCTATAACAGGTCGTCTGACAGTTTCGACATAAATTAACAATAGAATGAGCTCAACATTCTGAACATTTAGTCGCCCTGTCAGATTTTCTCTATTTATAGCGGTTTTCAAAGTTATAGGCAAAACTTGCATTTTACCTTTATGTTCTTTATGTTCTATTTTTAGCCATGTCGACACATTTTTAAACGAGATACCCCAATGATGGTTGTGACCAAGTTTGGTTAAATTTAGCCCAGTAGTTTCAGAGGAGAAGATTTTTGTAAAAGTTAACAGACGACGACGACGCACGACGACGACGGACGACAACGGACGACGGACGCCAAGTGATGAGAAAAGCTCACTTGGCCTTTTAGGCCATGTGAGCTAAAACAGAAATGACCATACAAAAACGAAAAACAACGAAAAGACAAACAACTGTCCACAAAGCCATACTCAGAAAACGAAAGATTGAGCAACAAGATCCCCACCAAAACCCGGGAGTGAACTCAGGTGTTCCGGAAGAATAAACAGTCCTTGTAAAATTCATTATTTTAAGATGCTAATGATGGTTTTCTGTGATTTTTCAGACATACGCAAATAGTTTGAAATAAGGAGATTTTGTGCGATAAATAATGAGACAGCTATCTATAATATGACAGACATCACACAAAGACACAAACTTAACTGCAGGCTCCTAACTTGGGACAGGTATGCAGAATGTGCTAGGGTAAAACATGTTTTCAAGCACCGAATCCTTACCTTAACATGGGTCAGTGTTGAGGCATGTGTCGTAGGAGACGCTTATCCTATCGACGCATCTGGTCTCGATACTTTTGATTTTATTGCGGTTCCATAGGTTTTTGTTTGATTTGTCTCTTCCTAATCGATTTACGAGATTTAAACACCGGTTAACTACTGCCTTAATTTGTAACAGCACAACATAAAATTAATTTTTAAAACAGTTGTAAAGGGCTTGATTCATCAGCTTTGCCCAAAACACAGAAAAAACAACTTACAAAATTAAAAACAAAAATACACAAACTACTGATCTAAGAGTTAAAAACCATGTTTTTGAAAACTGAAACATCAATTAGTGCACATCCAGTGGATTTACTGTAATGACGCCTTAAATAGTCTGAGAAAAGCATTACATTGTACATTGCCAGAACGTAAGTATCTAGAGGATGTATATCATGGATATGTAGCAACACATATTTATTTATGATTTTATTTATCAATAACAGAATCAATTTCAGTACCGATTATTATCAATAACAGAATCAATTTCAGTACCGATTAAAGACAATATTCAAAGATATCACTACAGTATTAAATTTGATAATCTTTCAATAATCAAATGATCAATAAGTTCAAATGGATCGTTTAAATTTTCGGGCTCTGTAAACAACATCCTCGAAAAAGTAGCTGTGATAGATAGCCCGTTTGTAATAAGGTTTCTACAAGTACAGCCAAACTTCCATACCAATCCTTTGTATCGATGAAATAATTTAGTAAAGGTTGAAGTATTTTTTGTAACGAAGTCTAAAACATCACTAGACACGGGGATAACGAACGAGCTGGCAAAGATGCACACCACAAGTAGGAACAAAGGGAACATCACCGTCCATAAAAGTAACAAAAGGGAAAACTCGTCTCTTCTGTCGTAGATCTTTGAATAGAGTTTCCTATGTGAAACTGAAATATTCTAATCCAGAAAAGGACAGCTATTTCTGATTTAATAAAAGTAAGTTCCCTCTGTTCAATGTCCAAAGTATAAGTAGGGAATTGTTGATTATTTGAATAAAAAAATTCATTAGGAAACGATGAGTAATCGAGATTAGCTAAAGGAAATGGAACAGAAATACATTTGGTAGGTAAGACCGACACATACTAATAACATATATCAAGTAAATGCATTCTAAAACGTACAAATTTTAAAAAGATTATAACAAAAATACGATTAAAGAAGGAAAACAGGATGTACGTGTGAGTCATTTCACTCTTCTTCTCCCACAATCTGCATAGTAGATAAGGCAAGTCCAAGTTTTACTTTGGTCAACGCCGAAGTCATCCGACGCAATAGTAAAACTTGAGTAACAAAATGTTACGAAGTTTCACCATTTTTTCTAAAAGCTTCACTGAAATCTAGTCACTTGTTCAGAATAAGCGTCGAATATAAAATGACGGGTGGGCAAGTGAAACTTAAATCAGTTAATGTTTACCACCATTTAGAACTTACACACATTATCTGCTTCATTAAGCCCGTCCTATAATAAATCTTTCTTTTTTTCTGTTTAAAATAATGATATGTCCAAAAAAGTATCGAAATTTGAACTTATCTGGTATTCTAACTATTTAAAATTGAAAAAAAAGTAATTATACACCTTGAATTTCTTAGATGTTTAAGCCAATATTGACTCTTCGTGTGTCTATTTGGTTAAGACAATAAAAAGGAAAGATAATAAGTATCTCCCCCAAGAAACTGACTATCGATTCTCCCCGAAGGGTTGTAGAGGAAATAACAATGAAACAGCAACCCATTAACACATTATAACAAAACAACAGTTATATACTAGTACTGCTTGTTAATGTAAACATACCAGTTCGATTAAGTCGATGATCACCATTTTGGTCTCCCCAGAAAATGTAATCTACTCCAAAATTTTCAGCCATTCTGGTATCCTTTCCAATAACTTCTTCAAAGAAACGAGTTACATCACTTGCAGTAATTCCAGTGGCCGGATCGGCGTTTAAATACATGTACATCTCGTTCATTAATAGGGTATACATTATGTTGGTATCTGAAGACTCGGTCGGTGCTCTCTAAATACAAAATTAATCATATTCAAAACATGATTACTAGGAAATGACAAATATCACAACACCAAAAACAAAAAGCTGGTTTTCTTAAGTTTTCTGGATTATATGTACCATTTTTGTAATTAAGAAGAATGCTTAAAAAGACATAATGAAATAGCGTGTATATATTTTTTTTATTAAATAAAACACGACGGCTTGTATTCTAGATTTGTTACAATGGGTGGTCTTTGGTGGCTATATCTTTGTTTTTACACTTTTATCCTTCATTCTAGTAAAAAATTTGCTCTGGATTCCGTTTTTGAACTTGTTGTTACGGTAATGTATGATTTATAGACGATAGTACAATGTTCTTTTCTAGAGTTTCTGTTTTGTATAAATTACCTTTATTTGTGACGACGTTCTCCATGTATTCCTTCTAAATCGAGGCATGGCAAGACATGTACTCAAAAATACAACAACAAAAACGACTTTGTACATTTCGTACTTTCAATCTATAAAATAGAAAAAAAACATCATACTAAAAGTCACAACTTTAAAATAAAAATAGAACATTTTCTTTAAAAATTGTTAAGATAGAAAAAGAGGACGCATAATTATGTAAGCCAAATGTTTTAATCCGATGTTCAGAGCTAAGGCTTTAAGTAGTTTCTATTACTTTGATTGAACGTAATACCGAGATACCGGTTGCAATAGCATATGTGATTTAAAAAGGAAAGAAGATACAAGGGGGAGCGAACATAAAACATAAGCCCAAGAAAACATGACCACATGAATAGCGCTTAAAAAGTCAATGAGTTAAAAAAAACACTACACAGAAATCTACAAATTGAGCAACACTAACCTTACAAAAACCAGGAATACCTAAGGGTTTGCGAAAGGGTAAGCAATTCCTGATTCACAAGTGGCTAACAGCCAGCATCGGTAGAGGTCAACATTCTTATGGGAGTTACATTCTGACTTTTATCACAATAAAATGATTTAAGCTATGCGTTTTGCAACACGGAAATAATCTCGTAATTGAAGAGATATGGTGAATTACTTCTTGACTCAAAATTATTACACACACTTTACAAAACCCATAGCAAAGGAGTTGAGCTTTCAGTGTCGTTTTCAATTTAAAGATATCGTGACGCCTGCAATGGGAACCAGAGAATAAAGCTTATACTTCACTGCATGTTAAAAGCGGTTCCTCGGTACCGATTTGTGCAACACCAAAAAAATAGGTTTTCAATTTTCCAAGTAAAGATTCCTACTGCATTAAAGCGTTTGTTTTTATCTACTTGTTCAGAAAAGTTTTGAATGTTTCTCTATTTTAACAAACAATGGATATAAAGGGAAACTCAAAACCCTATACAGCAACTTTGCCAGATAGAATGCAACTTTAATTTCAATTTTCACTAACTTGAATACAAGTATCATTTATATATTTGCAAAAAATCAAACGATTTAATGTAAAAGTTTGAATATCAGAGTACACTACTGGTAATCAAGCTACGATGAACTTTTATTAACCTACATTCTAGGAAACTATTAGTAAGATAATTGGTTAACTGATTTACCAACAGATGTCGAATATCTGGTTTGAAGGCAAAATATGAATGGCGATTTTTTTTTAATGACAGTATGAACTTTAGTTATTACATCATTCCTCCTCCACGTTAATGAAGAAATTATAAGCTGATTCTTTTTTAAATAACACTCCCGAGTGATATGTCAAAACATGCTAGACTTCTTGTCACAAATGCCATGGGACCAAGTTCTGACATTAATTATAAATGGTTGGAAGCATCGATTCTTAATAAAACTTATCACTTATGTTATTATGTGACAACAAAGAAGGGATTATCACAAGCGTATGACATATTAAAAACAATGAATGCATAATACTATGATTTTGGTTATGAAGATGAATATAATTGTTCTGGATTTTGATTACAATAACAGTAAACATTAATAAACAATTCGAGTTCAATTTGAAAAACATAAACATGTTTAGTCTTAGATGCATGATTTTTTATTAGTTGTTATTGGCTTTGAACTAGCTGTCAGTGACTGCGAGTACTCTCAGATCTGAACTAAGAGTCTTTTTTGTTATCGGGATGTATAAATACCCTGCCACGTCCGATCTGTGCTTTTGTTAGATGTTTTTCTGCTTTGTAACGATCTAATGAGTTAAGCCCTTTTCAATTGATTTTTATAGTTTGTTCTTATGTTGTACTCTTACAACACTGTCCCATGATAGGGGGAGGGTTTGGCGCCAGCAAACTAGTTTAACCCCGCCACATTCTGTAATTGCCTGTCCCATGTCAGGAACCTGTAATTCAGTGGTTGTCGTTTGTTGCTGTATACCGTAATTGGTTTTTTTCATTGTTTTGTACATAAATCAGGACGTTAGTTTTCTCGTTTGAATTGTTTTACATCTGTCATTTCGGGGCCTTTTATGGCTGACTATGCGATATGGGTTTTGCTCATTGTTGAAGGACGTACGGCAACTCATAGTTGTCAACTTCTATGTAATTTGGTCTCTGTTGGAGAGTTGTCTCATTGGCAATTGTACCACATCTTCTTATTTTTACGTGTACAATGATAATTACCTGTAAACCGTGAACATATTGTGATTGAACATTCTTTGATTCAAGTTTGTTATTTTTACAAGAAATTGATATGATATGTTTCTGAAATAAAGTATCTTACAAGAACATTTACGTATTGACGTTCAAAAACAATTATCGTAGATTTGGATAAATCAGATTTCCCTTCACAAATCGTATATACGAAAGACAGTTTTAGAATGATTGTATAACTATTTTATAAGTTCGTGTTGTTCATTTTTGTTGTCGGTGTTTTGTGGACTGTTGTTGGTCTGTTCGTTTTTTGTCTTTTGACCGTGGTGTTGTCTGTTGTTCTTCGAGTTATGATTTTTTTTATTGCCATTTTGTAATCTTTCACCATTTTTATAAACATATATATTTACATTCCGGAGTTTACATGGTCGTTCAATGAAAAATGATATGCGGAAACGACCTTTCACTAATATATGTAAAGGTTATTTATTACCTTACATAGGTCGCACTTTTTCATAAGTGTGTCAACAATAAACGTTGAACATGTTTGTGAGGTATGTAAAATATGTGATAAATTTCGCAGCATACGACATTGAAGGTGATGAACAAGAAATGTAGACGTACTGACGACATTTTTCAAACGCTCCGTTGACAGACATACTAATGAAATATCATAAATAGACGACCTTACTAAATAGCAAATGTGAACCACAAAATATGATAATCTTGTTAATATCCTGCAAACAATGCTATCAATATTGAACATTTTTGTAGATCTGTAATTTTCAAAAGCTTATGTTATTCGAAAGAATTTACTCTAATAAATTCACAATGAAAATATAAGATGTATTTTTTTTTTAAATATTTCTTGAATCTAATAAAAAAAAAAGGAAACACGTAAAATTGATCTGATATGTTGGATCACCAAATGAAAAAAATGTATATAGTTTCCCATTTTTTTTTTCAAAACGGTGGGTGCAATGTTAAAAAAATGGATAGTTTGTGTTGAAAACTAGTTACGAACTAGCATCAGTATACAAAAAAAGGAGATGTGGTATGTTTGCTAATGAGACAACTAACGTGGGTCTAAGCAATTATAGGTTACCTTACGGCCTTCAATAATGATCAAAACCCAAACCGTATAGTAAGCTGTAAAAGGTCCCGACATGACGGAATTTCAAGTCTTTTCATAGTTTTAAATATTTTTTTTTTAATTCTAACATCTAAAAAGATAATAGTAAAAGCAATGAATAAAACAAGAAAAGAAATTAAAATGTGATATATTGGATATATTTGTTTAATTTCAAATATATGATCACTCAATTTTTAGGGATGCTTCATGTATTGTATGTTACGACTTAACGAATAATTCGTACAGGAATACCGTTTTCAATTTTGGTCTGCAGGGCAGCCAGTTCAATAACGTGGTTAAACAAACGCTCATGAAGATTTTCTTAATTTGATCAATAAAGACGAAAGCTGCATATCTGTCAGGACAAAAGGTGAAACTAACAACATTAAAAACAATGGACAAAACGGCAAATATTACTTGATATAGGTGGAACATGAATTATAAGTGCGTTTCAATAACGATTGAATACTAATCCTGGATGTATTTAAAAACAATTTTAGTTGCAATATATTAACATGTAGATGGTTTGACACCACTCATCTATTATCCGACAAAAACCATACATATACTAGTATTCGAATTATTATACGTGCAAATGTATGAAAATCTTGCGAGCAATCGTAAAAAAAATAATCTAATGCGCGCAAATGTAATGTGAAATGATTTTCATGTGTCAAATCACTGTTATGCATATAAAAGTATTCAAAAGGTTTTTGAAATGTTATATTCAATTATCATGTGTTTCAAAATATTCAAAGTTATGTAATGTTTGCTCGTACCTAAATTGAGTGAATACACATTTTATGCAATAAAATTCATCTGAACAAATCGGATCCATTCCTACTAAACATTGTTGTGCTTAAATCACTTTTGAATTATTATATTTGCTGTCCATATACTTTCTTTCTTATGTTTTAAAAAACAACTTGAAATACAAAACAGATCGACTTTGATTTAATCATTTATTATTGAAGTGGGAATTTGGTTAATTGAAAAATTTCATTCATGAATGCGGTAAATTTTTAAGGGCAAAAACTGTAGCAAATATTTTAGTTATTCAGTCAAGGGCTCAGTACCGATTTTGCATACAATCTACTCTAAAATATGACGATCATTTATCTGTCAAATTGTAGTACTTAAAAAATTCATTATAATTATTTTTAGAAAGTTTAATTACTATAATGCAAACTCCTTTGCATATTTATTATTTATTTCATGTTAAAAGTGTACATACTTTTACTCTTTAAAATATCATTACAATAAACACTGACAGTCTGACGTGTTTTGTTACTTTTAAGCCATCAATCCTAGAGACATTTTTGTACCAATTAGCTTTCTTTAGTAAACAGGTTACGAAAAATTATAGTAAACAAAGTAAAAAAAAGTTGAATGAACGTCTTCAAGGTTTCCCACGCGAACATATTTCTGATTAACTTATTTTATAAAGTTCTTTTTTTTCAGTTGTACTTACATCGGTACAATCGCTTGTTAGATTACTAGTATAATTGACATATTAAAAAATAACAATAAGGAAATTATAATTTAACGATACAGATGTGTTGTTTCCTGAATCTGGTACTTAAAATTATTCACTTTAAACTCAATAGTACATTTTACCTTGAAAGATTTTAAACTTATGTATGTAGAGACTTCAATAATAAAAATAATAAAAAAAATATGACAAAAAAAATTTCTAAGCATTCATGGTTATGGTAGCAAATTCCGTAGTTATCTTTTTTGCTAAATTTGCAAAATAACTAATTTTTCTGGAGCTACTGAAGAATTAATAATGCGCTTTAAAAGTACGGTGAAGAAAGCTAACCAGGAGAAAGCTAACCAGGAGAAAGCTAACCAGGAGAAAGGATGGAGCTGTGTTTTGTAGACTGTTGTTTGTCTTTTGGTCATTTTTCGTTTTTGCCATGGCATTGTCAGTTCGTTATCGAATAATGAATTTAACTATCCATTTGGTACCTTTCGCCCTTCTTGTGAAGAAAAAAACATTAACATATCAAAATAAAGAGATGGGGTCTGTTTCAAAATATGAGACCAAATGACTATAATAGTTATTTATAAAAATAAGGTGAAATGATCTGTGGGACTATTTGTGCATATTTGTTTAAGTTTTGATACAATTTTCCTACATGATGTCGGATCGCCATGTCTCTAAGTCAGGTACATGTATTCATTGTATAGTTCACATTGAAAAAAATAAGTACTTTGAAATGTTATCTTTTTCATAATTAATTAAAAAATTATATTCATAAAATGATCACAACAACGCATAGAAATTTTGGGAAACATTTAAACGACAAATCAGTTCCATTTTCCCCAATTATAATAGACTTTCGTCATACACATATACTTTAAATCCAATAAAAATAAGTTAGATAAAATTCAAATATAACACAGTTTCAAGTAGACAATGTCTGAATTTTGAAAAAATCAGATAACCTGTATGCACACTTGTTATAATCAAGCACCTCTTTCCTAAACGATTGATTTGTTGCTCAACGTCCAGTAAGAAATATTTCATGAACATTTAGGACAGAAACAAATTAACAATCAATACACTTAGAATGTTCTACAAAGAGGGTAGATTGGGATGAGGGGTTGTGGAATATTACTGCATTATAGGGCAGGTTTGATAAGGGCAATGATTTTGCATTGCCACCTTTACGGACTTCCCAAAGAATTGTTGCAAGGGTTCATTAACGTCCGGAGAGGGTGTCACTGTCCAGGTGACCATATTTCTAACCCAAATCAACCCATGAGGTTCATTTCTAGAGTAAATCGAAGGTAACTAATCAGGTAAAATGCGGAAATGAATTATATAGTTTTTGCGGAAACGTAATACATTTTTTTTGTGGAATAGCTACTGCAATTATAACCAAAATACATCTAGAGGTCACTGATATATTCAACAAACGACAGGTGTCTCTTTAATATGTCACGCTTTAAATTGTGTCGATAACAACAGTTGTGCATAAATTGAACAGAGATTATTAAAAGAACTGCCATCCATATCAAGCCTCGAAGAACAACAACGAGACTGTCACATTTGATAAAATCATGGACAATACTTTCATTATATAATAAAAATTAAGAAAACCTATAAATAACACGAGACCAAGACAACACCAAATATACAAAGACATTTACGCAATTAAGAATATGCGTACATATGAATAAGAGACGTATGGGAAAACAAAGGAATATTCAGAAATCGTATATCAAAAATAAGGAACAGACAAAACCTAAACCGAAGGAATAGTAGAAAAATTTACGCAATGACCATTAAAATGAGTACCTTTGTGACTGTATAAAACGACATGAATGCAAACAAATTTTGTCCGAGAAATGTAAAAATACCATGTGAAAGGATATCAATTATTTATTCAATATATACAGAAAGAATCCCCCGTGAATGTCAAATTTAGACTACCATAATATTACTTTAACGGGTAAATATAAATAATAAATGTACATTTCTCTCAAATAATAATCACATGGAATGAAATATCAAGTGGACTTGATTTTCATACGAAAATCCTCGCGAATTTCATGCATTGGATTATTGTATCGCATGAAAATCACGCGAAATCTTAAAAATTCTAAACTTGCAAATGGTCAAATTTCGCGTTATTACTTTCCAAAGTGTATCTGACTTATCAAACTGTGGCCTCTTATAGCATGGTTTGCTAATCAACAAATCATATTTCGTATACCCCGAGTCTAAAAAGTTGCGAAAAAATTTAACAGAGACTTTGAAAAATATGCTTTCTGCATCATATTCTCAAAATAACACAGAACATAAGACATCACATAACTTACTTTTTAACCGCTGACGAGGTTCCTGATTTGAAACGGACACATGGACAAATCTATTTTATTGAAATATTCTTTTTAAATCTCGTTTAATCCACGAAGATCCAGGCTACATACAAATGATAAGTTCAATGTAATACTACACGATATATAGAGATATCACACTCCGACCAAAAATAAATTTGAACGCTTGAAAAATCCAAAATAACTTTTAACTTTCTGATATTTCTATTTTCCAATCAGACTGGGTCAAAATGCTACTTGGAACTAAATTTTGTCATTTCGTATTCTTGTACCGAATAAAATCTGATATCTGGCAATATTTGAAACGCCTACCGAAATATTTTACTCGAAAAACGGCGAAAAAAAAATCATTTGACTGGAATAAAACACGAACTTTCAATGGTTTATATCATCGCTTTAAAGGTTATTTTGAAAGGGTTTATTGATTTGTAAACTCGATAGACTCTCGCTCAAACTAAATAAACTTTATGTTAAATTGTTGAGTAAAAGACCGCATTCAAAATCAACAAACTCCGCATAAACTACATTTATTATACCACAATTCAACAATTAGAGAACTATTACGCCTGTGTATGTCACGTCAAGAAACGGATTTGTACCACTAAATGCCTTATGAGAAGCTAGCTTTTTCAAAGATTTTGTTTGTTGAGGAGGAGGTTCTTAAAGTATCAAATTACACTCAACCTGTTACTTTCCATGGTGCATATGAAAAATGAATCTAAATACTCAAATGGTCATGGGAAAGGTTAAGAAAGCTTAAATTTGACAAACGGACTTAACGACTGACGTTGTGCAGCCCTTTCTTTGACCCCAGTGAACTAGTAAACCTTCTGAATCATGTCAGCTGGTAGGCCGAAAAGGACAAAAAACAAAACCCTTCCCCTAAAAAACAACAAAACAAAAACAGAAACAAAGCAATTATGATAAAGAACTAAGTGCGACGAAATGTTATAACAGACAGGGCAGCAAGATACCCGGACTCCTTTCCATATGGATATAAAAGTATATAAAGATACAGGCACTCCTTTACATAATGTGGATATAAAAGTAAAAAAAGATACCCGGACTCCTTTACATAATGTGGATATAAAAGTATATAAAGATACCCGGACCCCTTTACATAATGTGGATATAAAAGTAAATAAAGATACCCGGACTCCTTTACATAATGTGGATATAAAAGTATATAAAGATACCTGGACTCCTTTACGTAATGTGGATATAAAAGTAAATAAAGATACCCGGACTCCTTTACAAAATGTGGATATAAAAGTATATAAAGATACCCGCACTCTTTAACATAATGTGGATATAAAAGTATATGAAGATAACCGGACCCTTTAGATAATGTGGATATAAAAGTATATAAATATACCCGCACTCCTTTACATAATGCGGATATAAAAGTATATAAAGATACCCGGACACTTTACATATTGTGGATATAAAAGTTTATAAAGATACCCGGACTCCTTTACATAATGTGGATATAAAAGTTGAAACACATATAGTATCGAGTGTGTAATTGTCAAATAGGAAAACATAAACTGTAAAACAATTTTAAGCATGAAAAATATAATGTCGTATACGGAAGGGTGTTTTTCATGTTTATTTTTAAAAATATAAGATTTCAGAATGAATTTAATAAAATATTCATTTTCAGTTATTAGTTACTGAACAATCAGTCTGTTAATCCTTTTTACTCATTGTTTGTATTTTTGCAATATAAAATAAAATTCAAAAATAAAAATATAGATTTAAGATTTTTTAGCTTGGTTTCGTACAATTCATTAAAATATCTTCTGTATCTTTCAATCTCAAATTAGTTTAAATCGTTCATTGTCATATAAAGAATTAGAAAAAGTGAATTTCTTAATTCAAAATAAATATCTTTTTTACAAAGAAAAGTATAAATAAAACATCTAAATAGTAGATAAATAATATTATTAAAAAGGTACTTACAAATAGTATCTATATAGAATAGCTATACACTAATGTTATGTATGGTCAAGCAGTGTTGAGATTTATATCTATTACCTTTGGCCAACAATTCAACTTTGACAAATGTGTTTCATTCATCCTTTTATAAATGCTTTTCCTAATGAATAATATCCAATCATTTCCATTATTACAATATACCGTGAATGAAACGCATATCGTCACGTGACACGCCTGAACATTTTTGTGACGTACTAAATACATGGTTTTACTGATGTTGGAAATCTTCTAATAATTGATTGTTCTAAACATTAAAAAAAGATATAACGGCAGTACAAAATCGTAAATTAAGCCTTGTTAACCACAAAGCAGTTTTAAGTTTCGTATCGTGTTAAAGAAGAGCAAAGACAAAAGTCGGACTGTGTAAAAGGTTAGTTAGTGCTATACGACGTTGACAACAAACTATGAAATAAGAAACCACGATCACTCGTTCATTAAGTAAAATGCATATTAATGAAGTATAAATGTTGATTAATGATGTCGTTTATTATGTTTTGTGATGTAATTCTTACTTTTGAAGTCAATGAATCTTCTAAGAAACGGACTATTCCACATATTTGTCACATTTTACAGAGTATTTAGGATAATTTCAGGATGCAAATCAACTTAATCACTTTTGTATTTTTTCGTTCAACTTTTTATCGACATGGTTGGTATTGTAAAAGTACAATTATAAACGATGGGGATTGTATCTGGTGGTGCAACAATATTGATAGATTGATTGTTTGATTGTTTGTTTACTGCCAAGCGGAAAATAACACGCGTATATTCTGGGACTATTACACTAATATATTAGTCCTAGGTATATTTAAGATGAATACACCATAGCATGATGAACAACAATCAATTAGGATAATTCGAAGTCTTCCAAGAGAACGCACTGAAATTTATATACACATGAATGTCACCATCAGAGGGTATTTTGGTAAGGCAAACAAATTTGCATAGGAAATGTCACTTACGAATCCTCTATAAAAAGTTCTCACGGTGCTTCTTTGATGTGCAGATAACATGTCAATTTTGCAATCTGAGATTTCAAATTCAATGTGCCATGTTCTACGTGAATCTTTTGTCATGAATTATATCATCATCGAAAAAAATCGAGTTCTTTCAATTACAATAAATAGACAAAAACTTTCTACTCTGTATACTACGCAACCACACAATCTAATTAACAGTTTAAAAATGTTTTTCTATAATAAATCTTGACGTATCTATATATTTCGTAGTCATTACAATTCCCTTTTCACGATTAAAACTTTAAAAAAGTCACTAATTGGACATGTAAAGTTAAGAAATGAGAAAATTAAAGGCAACAGTAGTATACCGATGTCCAGACAAGTTAATCCGTTTGACTACACATAGTAGAACCAACACCCTGAGGGAATCACATACACTCTAAAGAAGACCGGGTGCGTCTACAAGGTATGCGTCTCTTACTAAGCCAATATTTTGCTTGTCATTATTTATATTCGTTTTGGAGATAAAATGCATCGCAAGTGATTGGATTTTCGATGGGAACTAACTGCACCCCGCTTTTTGCAGATTTGTTCTTTACTGTTATGAATCAAAATTTATGCAAACATTCATAAAGACCTTACAAAACACAACTTGATAGATACTTTATTTTTACAATGCCTGCATATATATATTGACAGTATCTTATCTGTAAACAATCCAGATTTTCTAAATATACGAATAAATTTATTTACACTTACTAAATCAAACACGAACAGTGGCTGGTGTCTATAAAACCTTGATATCTTGATATTTTCATGGCAATCTCTGGTTCGATATGCGTTTTTTTTTGCAGTGACATCTCAGACGTTAATGAACGTACTTTCATTGCTAAAAAAATTTTACAACAGGAATAAATATATCATACATTGGTCATATCTTTTAAAAATTAGATAACAAATATAGGGATTGATGATGGAAGTACGATTTCTTCTGCAGGAAGTAACTGAAAAGTGGTTATTACAGTAATATAATTGATAAAGTTAACAAGTTTAGGAGTTGTTTTTCAAATCTTTAACTTTGGCAGACTTTGTTAACGGTTATAATTGTACTGGTGATGTTCAATTATTGTCTCTGGTAATTTTGGGATGAACACAGATTCGCTAATTGAAAGTTTGAAGCATGTCTAAAATATTTTTGTTTGTTTTTCTACATTTACATTTGTAGTTTGTACTAGGCATTATACAAGATCGTGTCTTCTTATACTGTGTATTACGCTGCCATATGAAACCTTCTATGAATTATAGGCACGGGCATCAGAATGTAGGACGACACGATTTCATAATATATACAGATGAGATCAGTTTTAAGCCCTCTTAAAGTCGGTCAGGAACGGTCAGGAGAACTGCTCTACAACATTGTTTACAACAGTTCTGACATCTTAAGGAGAGTTTCTGACAGAAGCGGTTCTACTCTAGAACATGTCTAGAACTAGAACAGTTTTGACATTTCTAACCTAGAACAGATTCTGCCAGTTCTACAATAGAATAATTTTAGACAGTTCTAACATAGAACAGATTCTGACAGTTCTGTTTTTGCATGTCATTCTCTGTACCTTTGATTGTATTGGTTTTTAGAGAATAAAGTATTGTCGTTGTAGTTGTCTCTAAAATAGAAATTGACAACTCAATATATTTATATAGTTATTATTTGCTTCATTTATTTAATTTATTCTATATATCTCATTTATCTTATTAATTCTATCAATTATTTTCTTATATTTATCGATTTACGAATATATTTGTTTACTTTTTTATTTATCTAATTTGTTTATTTTCTTTTTTTATATTTATTTATCCATTAAAAAACAATTATCTATATAATCTCAAACATAATTTTCGTGGATATCATTGTTACTTTTCATGATAAATTATTTAGTATTGTTCATTTTTTTATTTTTATTATTATTTTTTTAGTAATTTAGTTTAATGAACTGTTGTTGATAGCAGCCAGTAACAGAAGTTATGTTAAAGTACAATAGAATCCGAATCCTCCTAATACATATTGGAATTCAAATATTCAGCATTCAAATTATATTTCATATCATTTGATTATCACTTAAGTGAAATATACATTTATTATTTATATTTCACGGTTAAACTTCATACTGTTGTGGTCTAAATTTGATATTCACGTAGGATTTTTTCTGTATATAAATTTCATGAAATTTTAATCTTTCGCATGAATTCTTACATAAAACGGACAAAATTAGTTTTATTTCATGCTAATAAACAGTCAAAAGGGATCTGAAGGAATATCATAACACACTTGCATGTTGTTTGAATGAAGTATACTCATTTTGGCAAATACAAACTACTGCAAAAATTTGAGTACAGAATTAATTGCAATTAATTCTCCTGCATACTTTCTGTATTCTGTTTCGAGAAAGGGAAAATACCATAACAGTACGAAGACAATCAAACTTATTCTTAAGTAAAATGACAACATTGATACATGTAAAAAGAATAAATATCCACTATCTTTTTCCTTGAAATTGCAAGAATGGTGAACATATTCAAGTTCTTGTCAAAGTCACCTCGCCATTGGTTGTCTTTGACTTTTAATTGTTTGGGTTTTGGGTGTTCCTGATAAAGGTTTATCAAGAACAGGGTTTCGGACGTACCGAATTCATTAAAAGTTATTTTTGTTTTCTACCACTGGTTCGATACCACTCTGGTAGACTGTAAGTCCTAGATGGTATCATTAGCTCAAAAGTAAGTGCTTCGGTACTGACAGATTTGTAACATAACTGTTTTAAATTCTCCAATGTTAAATGCAGAAATTGTTAAGAAACTTAGATTCCAATGCCTTCAGGCAAAGTTGAGCATTCTTGAATTTGGCTATTCCTTTTAAGTCCATTTTTGCTCTTCAGCTGTTCAGGGTCTTACACAAATGACTTTTTAAATTTTGGGGTATGAGCGATCCTGATGAAGGTAAATCTAGAAATGCGATTCGGACGCAACAAATACCTAAAGAGTTATTTTCGTTCTCCGCCTCTGGATCGATACCACTATAATGGTCTGTAATTCCTCGATGGTATAATTAGCTCAGAAGTCAGTGCTTCGGTACTGACAGATTTATAACATAACTTTCTCGAATTATCCGATGTTAAATGCAGAAATAGTTAAGAATTGTAGATTCCAATGCCTTCAGGCAAAGTTGAACATAAATATATTTGGCTATTCCTTTTATGTTCATTTTTGGTCTTCATGTGTTCAGGTTCTTATACAAATGACTTTCCAAATTTTGGGGTATGAGCAATCGGACGCAGCAAATGTATAAAACTGCTATTTTCATTTTCTGACACTTGGCTAATAGCACAGCTGGTGAAGTGTAATATTCGAGTGTATCATCAGCTCAGTAGCTAGTGCTTCGATTCTAAAATAATTCAAAACATGCCTTTCTTAAATTACTTCGCAAATAAATCTAGTAATTATTAAGAATCAAAGATTCCAACTTCCTAAGGCGAAGATGACATTAAATGGATATGGCTATTTAAAAAAAAAAAAATTTTTGCCATTAAGCTCTTCTTGTTTCCAGCTGGTACTTATACACTCTTGGCTTTCAAGTCTTTTGGTTTGAATGTTCCTGATTAAAGTTAATCTTTGGACGCCAGTATAAAAAAGAATGCAAAAACACTCAAATGTCATGTACATGAATAACGAATCTGCAAAACGAACCATTTTCACATTCACATTCCAACAATGTACAATTGTTTAATCTCTAATTCAATTCATTTTCGTTTGTTCCAACGCTTACTTATTTTTTTTCGGCGACATCGCCTCAGGCCAGGCGAGATAAAAATAAGGCAAACAAATGTTAAAAACAAAATTTCCACTTCTTTCAAAAATGGTAAAACAATAAAAACGCTTATCACTGTAGGATATAATAGAAACTAACTTTATAATTATAGTTGTCGCTATCATATTTTTTTTTTGCTCACTAAGATTACACTGTTTGTTTGTCTGCTGTGTTTTTTCTTGACACCTTGACGCCTAGATGAAACACACATCAACCTTTCTTAGTTTCTTGTCAATGTTAGCTTTAACAGTCAGTCTTTCTTTCTC